CATGCTGGGGCCCAGCTCTGCACACGCCTGGTCGTTGGTCTGCTAGGGTGTTGCTGCGGACAGGGACGGGGCTCGAGAATGCACGCTAGCTGGACTGCACGCGCGCATGTTTGCTGGGACACTGACGGGGCACTCGCGGGGATGGGCGTGCGCGAACTCGGACATCAGCAGCAATGACATTACACGAGTGACTGCGTGTGATTCGCAGCACACTGCGTGTAACACGTTGCGCGCCTGCGAGGTCGACGCAGCCAGCACCCGGTTGCACCCGTTTAACTTCTTGGCTGCTCAGTGGAATGCGACGCCTGGACTGAGACTTCCCTACGCGCGATGGTCCACGGCCAGGTACGGCTCTGAGGCTTTCACGGCACCACAAGGTTTTCAAAAGCATAATTTTTTTTTCCCAAAAGTATCAAGGCTCCAATTCAAGATTTAAAAGATGGATATTTGGTTTCTAGCACAAGGTTCAACACCACCTCAAAATCCCAAAATTTCAAGGCAATTCCAACAATTATTTTCCAAGGTTTAAAGGCTCGAATTTTTCACATATCAAAGCATCAAATCTCAAGGTTCAAGGCTACAATTACAAGGCTTAAGAGACTCCAATGTCCCGAAAATAATGCACAAGACCTTAAGCAAATCAATATCAAACTTTATAAACTCAACTAAACTCGAAAAAACCAAAGGATCTACTCCTCTTCTTGAATCTACAGGCAAGGGAGAGGAGATCGGACTAAAGCTCGGTCAAATTGGACGCGACGGCTTGAATCTCGGGTGCGGGTGCTCGTGGACGCGCCAAAGGCCTCGCTGAACAAGGCTCTCGGCTTTCGCTGTTCAGTTCAGGCAACGCGCGTCTCCTCGGATGCTGCTTGGGGATCGTCTCGGCAAGGTGTGACTGAGGCGTGCGGTCAATCTCGGATCTCCCAGCTGCGAGCGGAGGCGGGCTCTCGGCAATGCTCGTGTAGGCTGTTGTGGTTCGTGCGCGGCTTGTGCGGTGTTGCTGCGGGCATCGAGGCAGAAGGTGTAGTGCCGCTGGTCTTTGCTGGCGCCCTCGGCGTGACGCTTGCGGCTACTGCCCGCGGCGATTGGGGCGCTCGCGGTGGCTGCGGTTAATGCCGGGGAGGAGGCTGATCGAAGGAGATTTTTGGAGAGAAAATAGGTGTTGTGGTCTTCTTTAACTAAATCTTCTTATTCCTTTTGATGGGACTGTCGTTTTCAATTTCGATGGGAGAAAATAAAATTGTTTTTGATCTAGTGTGTTGGAGACCATAATCAATAAAGTCTTTATATATACAAAGGTAGACCACCTATTATCACCTAACACTAATCTCTCTCTCTCTCTCTCTATATATATATATATATAATCACTAGCTAATCCCATTTAATAAAAATATTTTCACTTTCCCTCCAAAGGGTTATATTTTTTTGTAATTAATTACTCACTAATCCCACATTTAAGAAGGTTTCTTTTAGTTAAACCTAATTAGTTAATGGCTAAACTAAAAATGTTTCTTTTAGTTAATCCCACATTTATGTTTCTTATTCTCATTTATATATATAAACGTGGCAGCCATTATTGTTGTGTAGAAACCATATATTATTATTTTTTATTCCATTATGAATTGAATAAGCAATTAAAGTTATAAAAAATATTAATAAATGTATTAAATACAAACATTATAATACAGATCATGTTACATTACAATATAAAAAATGAAATTATTTTTTTTGTAATTTAATTTCCAGCCATACTCCATCAAACATATAGCTGCAAAATGATAAGAAAGATTAGTTTCATAATTAAAATTAAAAATTTAGCACCCCCAAATGGTAAAACCTTATAAATTAGTAGTATAGATACATTTAAATGACATATAATTTATAAACTTAGACTATACGCATAATAAGATGAATTAAAAAAAATTAATGAATTAAATAAATAAATTATTATTATAGCGCAGTCTATATTTAGCATAGTCTATACTGTCAATATAATCATTAAAAAGTTCATTGAAAAAACATATGTATAAAAAAAATCCATATGATCATAATTAATAGTGCAAAATTAACTATCTTTGACTTTCCATTTGGTAGTAATAATAAAATATTTTATATTACTACTATTCAATAAAATGCATGATTTCTGCAGATTTGATTATCGCAATCAACATTCTGTTTTATAAATTAAAAGGTGTGCTGAATAAATTGTCTCATATTTTTCATTTAAAAAAAATGTTGTCCGTGAAAAAAAATATTATTTCACAATTATAAATATAAATATGATTAATTTTCATTAAACAATTCCTCTTTAAGAAAAAAGTGGCGGGACAAATTTCTGCATGATTATAGCATAAAAACATATCCAAAACATCAATATTTTAATGCATTAAAAACCATATTTTCAGCAACAGAAAAGTCATATTAAACGGAAATTGGCAAAGTCAAAGAATGAGGATTGACAAGGCATTGTATGTAATGACATATTGTTGCATAATATAGAAATATCAAGCATAATTAATAATCAACAAAAAAAAGTCAAATCTATATGAAAAAATCAAAATTAAAAACACAGCAAATTATGTGGAACATTATTGGACACTATACAATATAGAAAGAAAAATAATTTGATTTTCCTCTCCTTATCAACACATTCAACTTTTACAAAGACATCTGCCTTTATATTAAAATCGATTTTTTGCGTAAAAGTTTTAAGAATAAAAATTCCTAAAGATTCTTTTAAACATTAAACAAGAAATTCCTAATATGCGATAAATATATCCAAACATATTTGTTATAAACTTACCTAATATTTCCAAATTTTGAACAAAATACTAAAAACTTTGAAAAACTTCGGCAAAAGACTTTGAACAACTTCGAAAAGCGATTTCGAACAAATGTTAGCAAAACTTCACTTAGTGATATAATGAGAAAGACGAGAAAGAATTGAACTATTTAGTGTTCAAAATCTGAACAAACTACATAAAAGCTACATATGTATGTTATAAACAGATATAGACAGATATGTTATAAACTTACCTATATATTTGTTAGTAGAGCTGAACAGATCTGTTAGAAACTTACCTATCTTTATCAAACCCTGAACAAAATACATATAAGTTCGAAAAAGTTCGACCAATGTCATGTTCTCTTCAAAAAACGATTTTGAAAAACATCTAAATAATTTCGAATTATGTATAAAATATGATATATCTTTGAAGCTTATTCACAAAGAATTTCGAAAAACGACACAGATCATTGAAAATAATAAAAAATAAAAACTACGTTTAACAAAAAATATTTCAGCTCTTCATAGATTTGTAATATTATCGTACAATTTTGACCGACCTGTTAAGATTTAGCAACACAGATTAAGAAATCGGGACGAATATTTATTTTTCGATCACTACTGTTGGCCACGAAAACAACATTTCTTGGATGTTTTTTTTTTTTTTTTATTTTTAATTTTTTAAGCCTTTACCGGGAGAAAATCTCCGGTAAAACAGTTGTTTTGTATTGAATCTAGCCGAGTTTGTCGTAAGATCGGGTTAAGGATTAGAGTTTCAGACAGAGTGAATAACGAGAGAAGCGTCGACATCAAACAAAAAAAAATGGCTTATATCACTCTATATTTATAGTCATGTTACCATTGACCTGTTTTATATTTGATTTTAGCTACCCTAAAAAAATAAGTGGACTTCTAATTTGGGCTTTTTTTATCATTCAATCAATATATTTCTTTATGGCCCAAAAATTGTCATTTTGTTCAAATGTCTTAAACATTTGGCACATATCATTATTTATCAAGCAAATACAATTATTTATTTTGTAATATTTTGTTGGTATTTTTTTTAAAATTTCCTATATGATCTGTAATACAAAATACAATAATTATTTAAACAAATAAAGTCATTATATGTCTTAATTTGAAGATAGTGATTTGTAGTGATGAAAATTCTGTTGATAGAAAAACTACAAACGTTGTATATAAGGAATTGTTTAACAATATTTAGTTATTCTTTCTTAGAACATTTTTGTAATGATTATATTATGATTTTTACTATTGTATATATTTTTTTATTATTTTTTGTTCTATTATATTACTTTTCGTGCAAATGCACGAGTTAAAAACTAGTAATATTATATATCCACCTAACCAGCCAAATCAATTACGTAGCCGAATCAATTTTACTTTATTTACATCACTTAATTGAGTTTATTAATTAAATTGAATAATCAATATAATTCTATGTAATATTTTACTCCTAATTCAATTATATCTAGGAAATTAAATATTAAGTACTATGGTGTTTCATGTATTATTACGATATGGCTTTGGCTTAGTATGTGGGGATGGATAGCCTACACTGCTACACAGATATGCTTGCTCCATAAGGAAAATTCTCTCGCACATTCCCCTTAAGATTCCCATAATAATTCCAAAATTGGTCTTATTTATTTTTCGTGTTTTGTTGGTGCATAATAAAAAGAAAACAGTAATTATTATTTTTAAAACAAATTTTCTCCCCCCATACAGCCATACTCCACCGTTCCACCCACCTTACCCTATTCCTCCACTCCCAACCGTCCATCTTAATCCAATCACCACCGACGAAAACACCAGCCACGTGTCTCTTTTTGCCACGTGTCCGCTATAGAGCCACAAGTCCACACGATTTCCGTGAGACCATTTTTTCTGTATTTTTCCTTTTACCGGCAGCTGAAGGTGAAAACTGACTTTTTGACCGCGGTGGAGAGCGATGACAGGGAAAGACGTGCGGCGGAGTAGAGAATATGAGAAACGTTTTTTTTTATAATTAGAGAGAGAGAAAGAGAGACGTAAGAGAGAAAGGGTCTTCCATTTTTATTATTTTTCTTCTTCACCTCTATTCATTATCCAATGCTTCAAGTCTCTCCATCTCCTTCTCTCTCTTCAAATACAGAGGATTAACGATTAAGTACACGAACGAACTTCCTCTTTCTCTCTCTCTCTCTCTCTCTCCTCGGGGACAATCATCAAAATCATAAATTTACATAACCCTAGGAATTCCATTCGTGCTTCAAAATCTTTTATATTAATGATTGAAGCTGTATATATTCTTTGTATGATTTAATTGTTCTTAACTTAATCAAAATTCTTTCATTTTACTTCACTATTGTTTTTAAAAAAATTTAGCCTTTGTTTTGAAGTTGGGTTTTTGTGCTTTTGTTTGTAAATATTGAGTTAGGTAGATACGAAGAAAGGAAATATTACACACAGCGAAGTTTCCTTTTATTTATTTATTTATTTTTTTGAGGAATTTTGTTGTGTTGGTATTTGCTACTGAGATTTACGCGATCAGAAATATGCAGTCGTTTTTCGGACTCTTTCTAGATTTGTATTTTCCTCGGCTGGTGGTGTGATTAATGTGATGAGACGAGGTATACGATGTGGCAAGTGTAGTCGAACCGTTTTTTTTTTGTTCGGATTTGCATGATATCGGCTGTCTCTGAGTTGTAAGCGTAGGATGGAGACACTTGTAAGCCCAAGGCTTCTATCTTAGCTGGGGCATAATTACGATAATCCATAAAAGGGGCAAAGCTGTGCAAAGGGGTTATGTTAATTAGAGGGCTGAGCAAGTGAAGGTTCTTAGCTTTTGGTGATGAGGAATGATAGCCAAAGAAGTGGAGATGGTGGATCACTTGTGCCAATCCCGGGTAGGGGTAATAATGGGATTATCCCGAGCTCGTTTAAGGCTCTTTCGAGCTACATGAAGATTGTTTCATCAGGGGCATCGACTGTGGCCTCTACCGTAAGGTCTGCTGCATCTGCTGCCTCTGCTGTTGTGGAGAAGGATGGTGAGACTAACCATTATCAGGTGAGATTCTTGAAAAATATCATTTTTTTTTTCTTTGAATTATGGCATGAATGATTTGTTGCTTGTAATATTAACACCATGGTTTAGTTAGAATTTGATTAGTGCCCTACAAGTGGGAAAGGATGATTGCTGGCAATTAAGGTTGCAGACAGTTTGTTTTATTGTAACTATAGATAATTTGTTCTTCCTCTGAATGTGATTCGGATGAAAAATGAGATGACTGCTTGAACATTTTGAGGTTAGTTTAAACTAGGATAAGTATGGTCTTCTTTTGTGATCTATGTACATTTTCGAAGGAGATAAATTATTAGCATTTGTTTCTGAATGCATGCATCTTTGGGGTCTAGTTGTAGATAAAAATTAGAATGAGAAAACAAATCTATTTGATCCAGTATTTAGTCCCTTGAAGTTCTGAAGTGGTGTAAATGCAAGGTTGTGATTATATGTTTCGTAATTGGAGCTTTATTTGCTCATGTTTTGTATTCATTAATGAGTGGAATTTGTAATTGGTTTTTCTCACGTAGGTGGGTTTATTCAGTATTGTTGTTTTACATAAGGTAGACAAGAGCAATATATGGTTAAATACTACAATTGTGACTTCACTCTGTATTTAATAGTCATGAGCAACATATATAACCATGTTAGATAGTTTCCGTGTTTGCTTTTGTGTCATTTGTATCTTTTTTTTTTTAATTATTTCAATATAAGGCACGTTCTTTTGCATCACCATAGTGCTTTGATAAATAATGGATCTTTTGGTCGTCTTTGTTGAAGATATCTCTTCTGGCTTGTTTTGAACACTATTATTATTATTATTATTTTGATCAGTCTTTGAATATTAGTATTAATTGTTAGTTGTTTGGAGGGTTTAGGTGGAAGTGCTTCTTACATGCAGTTGTTCTTGTATTTTAGGACTGCTTAACCTAATGTTTATAATTTGATGCTTCTTAATACTTGACTCGTTATTTGAATGACCTGTTTGCTTTAAAGATATTGTTGGAGACTTGCTGGTCTTTATTCAGTTTATTTATGATTTTTGTCGTCTTGTTCCATGACAGTAATATGTTTATCCTTTTGCTTAGTTGGAAATAAGAATTACTGGTAAATGTATGAGGCTTACGTTTTTGGTCAGAAGTGCTGTTTTAGCTTTTCTCGCGATTGTTGACGGTGGGGGAATGTTGGTCGTCATCATGTCATAAAAAATTTCACAACATGAGATTATTTCATTATTGCAGAAATTTTGTCGACGTGTCAATTAGTAGATATAGTTTTAAATGCGTGGATTGGGCCTTGTGTTTGCTAGGAGATTCAGATGCCTTAAGTTTACGATTGTAGTCAACTTGACGGTTATTTTGTCACCATCGTGGTAGGTGAATATTGTCGTCATCCACATTGAGGACATGTCTTGGATCTCTTGCGTGTTTTGTCATTAACCTTCCGTATACGACAAACTATTTCCCAGCTTTACATATGAATCTTTAATTGAGAAATTAGGGTTGGTTTGTTATGGGTCTACAAATTCTGACTAGGAATTGGCTAGAAAATCTACGTGTTCTGAGACTTTAGGCCACGTAAGTAATTGCTCTTATTCTTGTTTCCTGCTTTTGCAGTTCAATGAATTGTCGAAGTTGTTGGTTTCGTATAAAAATGAAAATAATTTTGTATTTGTCTAAACTTATGCATAAAACGTCTGGTTATAATTTCTGAAGTATTCTTTTCATAGTTCGGTGTGATTTAAGTGAAAATTATATCGTTATAGTTTTTCAAGTGTTGTACTTACATATTTATGACTAAACTGAAAAATTGTGTGGTTATGAACCTAAATCAATGTCTTAAAACATTATTCAATTCATTTACATTTCTTTCATTTGAGGTATTACAGGACAAAAGTAGTCGTTCAAATGCACCCAAATATGGCTTGCATTTCTTTCATTTGAGTATTACAGGACATTGTTCTGGTTGATGATTTTCACTGTTTATAAAAATAATGAGAACATGGTAGTTGGAAATTAAGGTAAAAGCAAGTGCCAAAATTCATTAATAAACGTGATCAGGCTTTATTACTGTGCATTTATAACATTCAAGTTAACTTGCCCTCACAACAAGCTGAGAAATCCCATGGAGTATATATTGATGCTTGCGGTGCATCTGTGTTTTTGACTTCGCTTGAAGTTGTTCCTGTTGTATTTGTTGTTATTAACATTATTACTGTTTGACAATATGTTGTCATTGTAGGTGAGATTAAATGCGTACATAACTGTGATGTGTATAATACTAATGCATAATATATGCTGGCCCTAATTGTAGGTCTCCTGGGCTGGCTTTGACGTATTAGAACTTGAAAGAGGTATCACAAGGCAGGTTCTCTTGCTGGGATTCAGCTACGGATTTCAGGTCTGGGATGTTGAAGTAGTAGACAATGTGCATAACCTTGTCTCCAGGAACGATGGTCCGGTTTCATTTCTGCAGATGTTACCAAAACCCTTGTCCCCGAATAAATCTGGGGATAAGTTTGCAGAAAGTCGTCCGTTACTGATTGTTTGTGCTGATGGATCATTTTCTGGGGATATTAATCATCAGGAGGGGTCAGTTATTCCTAGTAATGAATCCACCAAACACTGCAATGGATCGCTTAAGGGAAGTTACGTGCCTACTGTAGTTTGGTTTTACTCCTTGAGATCTCAATCCTATGTACATCTTTTGAGATTCAGATCAATTGTTCACTTAGTGCGATGCAGTTCCCGCGTTGTTGCTGTCTTGCAATCGGCTCAGGTGTGTTATATTTTGGCAGAAATTATTTCAGTTTGTAGAATTGCAATTTTTTTTTTTCTCCCTATTCCCTTGGTCATTATGCATTTTTTTTCTTTCAACAGATACACTGTCTCAACGCGGCTACACTTGAGAAAGAGTACACAATTCTTATAAACCCAATAACGGCAGGATCTTTTGGATTTGGGAATATAGGTGTTGGTCCCCTTGCTGTGGGCCCACGGTGGATGGCTTACAGTGGGAGTCCGGTCGCGTTTTCTAATTCACGCTCCCTGACACCTCAGCATCTTGCTCCTTCTAGTTTCCCTGGTCATGCTTCAAATGGAAGCTTCGTTGCACATTATGCAAGAGAGTCGAGCAAGCATCTTGCTGCTGGTATTGTGTCTTTAGGGGACATGGGGTATAAGAAGCTCTCGAGGTACTATTCTGAGCTGGTACCTGAAGGCAACAGTTTTCAGCCGGGGACTGTTCGTGTGAAGATGAATGGCGTTGCAAATGGACATTCTCAAGAAGCCGACAATGTTGGGATGGTATGCAGTGTATTCACATGAGAAAAATTTGATTTAATTGATGTTCTGTGTTTCTTATTTCTTTCCGTAAGTACTGAAAATTTTGTCGTCCGTATTCCGTTTCTTAATATTTCATCTGTGTACAAAAAGCCTAGAATTCTAGTGCATGGCTGATGTTCACTCCATATTTAATGTTCTAGGTGATTGTCAGAGACATTGTCAGCAAAACTGTGATTGCGCAATTTAGGGCACATAAAAGCTCTATTCAGTCATTGCGATTCGATCCCAGTGGCACTCTTTTAGTGACAGCTTCTGTACAGGGCCACAACATAAATGTCTTCAGGGTAATGCCTGGTTCATCTGAGGCTGGAGCATCTTATTCCCATCTGTACAGGCTGCAACGTGGTTTCACCAACGCTGTAAGACAGACTAAATGTGAAGTTCTGGCCTTTTCTTTTCTGGCTTGAACTCCCTTTCATGTGACTAACATTGATTTTTTTATTCTTTTTTTTTTTTTCACCAGATTATACAGGACATAAGTTTTAGCAGTAATAGCCGCTGGATAATAATCAGCTCCTCTAGGGGGACAAGTCATCTTTTTGCTATTTCCCCTTCAGGTGGATCTGTTAGTTTTCAGGCAGTTGATGATCGAGTCAGTTCCAAGAATACTGCATCAAGCTTGAGGACAAAATCTGTAGCACATGGATCTCCGAACTCAGGATTACAAGTTATCATCCAGCAGACTATCTGTTCTTCTGGACCTCCGGTGACCCTTTCTGCCGTTAGCCGGATTAGGAGTGGAAGTAGCAATGGTTGGATAAACACAGTAAGTGATGCTGCTTCTGCTGCGACTGGGAGGCTGAGTTCTCTCTCTGGGGCTATTGCTTCAGCTTTTCGTGAGGGTCAAATTAACGATACTCATGGTGACTCGAAGAAGAACTATTACCTTCTTGTTTTCTCTCAATCTGGATGTGTGATGCAGTATGCCCTACGTTTTCCGTCTGCTAACAATGATGAGGGGGTAAATCCCAATCATGAACCGGATCTTGATCATGATTCGCGGTTGATGGTTGAGGCAATGCAGAAGTGGAATATCTGTCAGAAGCAAAATTGGAAGGAGCAAGGAGATAGTATGGAGGCTAATGGAGCTAATGTGAATTTAGATATGGGTAAGATATATCCTGAAAATATGAAATCAACAGATAATAATGTGTTCCCTGATGTTTTTGGGGTGGCTGTGAAAGAAAAGACTATTACTGAAGAAAAGCACCATCATATGTATATCTCTGAGGCAGAGCTTCAGATGCATCAAAACCAGAACCTGCTGTGGGCAAGGCCTGAGGTATTTATTTCACATCTCTCGCTGGTTAGCAATTAGTATGTTGAATGCTGAGATGCCATCAGCTTTTTTTTTTTTTTTTTTTTNGGGCAGATATATTTCCAGACAATGGTGACTGATGGGTCGGAGATAAACAACATATGTGGTGGAGAGATTGAGATTGAAAGAGTCCCCACCCGCACGCTTGAAGCAAGGTCAAAAGACTTGGTTCCCGTTTTTGATTATCTTCAAAGCCCCAAGTTTCTACAGGAAAGGTAGGTACTGATGGTTGTTTTACTAAAATGTTGTGCGAGACCCTCTAATGCAACATGTATCTTATTTTGAAGCACTTTTTTTTTTTTTTTTTNTTTTTTTTTTTTTTTTCTTTATTTTAGTTTAACTTGACTGTAGTTCTACTCAGATTTAATTAGGTTACCATTTATTGCGAGTTGTTAGACCTTACTTTCTTGGCGTTCAGGTTTTCAATCATAAATGACGACAACAGTGGAAAATTTCAGCCTCTGGGGTCTGATGTATCTGATGGTGGCTCTCTTGACTCTGTAGCCAATGGTGGCCTCATCGGGAATGAAATGGACAATGGTTTAGATGAAAATGGGCAGAACGGATGTTTCTTCGAAAACAGCGCAGGAGTTGTAGATACTAATGATACTCTCCCAATAGCGAACACTGAGCTTGAGACTGTAAATACTAACGACAGTTTTATGGTTGGGGGCCAACTTAGTTTTGTAAATAATAGAGATGGCCTGGGCATGGAGAATCATTTTGGAGAGAGTGACGGAGTCTGACTAAAGGTAGATTCTTGATTGGAGACTATATATATATTTTTCTTTGGGAGCGATATGCGGAATGAAGAGAATTTATTTGAAGATTTAGTTTGGCCTAGTTAAACTGTAAATGCTCATTTGTGAAAAATGGTACTTGGCGTTTGCTTATAGTTGGGTTGAGCAACAGAAATTTGTTTCTAGGCATTTGTAAACTGAAAACCCAGTTGACCTTTGGTAGAACTCAGAAGGGGCCTATATCTGAAATAGTGGAATTTGCTTTGTTCCCTTTATAATGATCTCTACACATTGAATTTGTTGTAGGAGAAGTTTACACATCCTTGGTAGTGTGTTCCTGAATCTCGTTTGCTTGTAAGTCTTTTATTAAAGTTGATGTGAACATTAACTTTGATGTTGTTTTTCTCTTCTCAGGTTGGGAGTTATTCTTTTATTTTCTGAGAGGGGGAGTTTGGAAGAATTTCCGCAAAGGAGCAAGAAGTAAAAGCACTTGGGGTTGTGGCGGAAATTTGTGCGATTTGTGTTAAACTGATGTTCGTCTGATGGTGTAAATAAAGTGTTTGGATTTATAAGTTCCAATAATTGACTTCAATATGTAAATAAATTGAACGCTTTGTTGCTTTCTTTGCCTATTGCTCGCGTTTTAGATTGTACTGATGGATGTTTGATTGACCTTTTTTTTAGCCGGAAAAGGGCAGTTCTTTCTGGTTGGAACTCTAATCAAGAAGGCATATTGTATTATGAACCGAAGGGTCAGATTTCTTTTCTTAAACTTATGTGATTATTCCGATGTTTACTTGGTCACCATTTTGGGATTTGTAGTTTTGTTGAGGTTTTTGATTTAAATGAGTTGCGAAGTCTGCCCAGCAAACACTTTCCAGTTTTAAAAATTTCCCGTAGCATTTGCAGTTAGGTTATATAAAAACTAGACTAGAAAGGGGCTCTTGGGAAAATAAAAACAGTAAACAGGACATTAATGCCTCAACGTGACGTCAAAATTGTGTACATCTTTTATAAACTAAAAATATCTCCAGATTCTTTAGCCGGAATCGAATTCCTTCTTTCTCTTGCGGTAATGGATCTTTTTATTTTGATCGTGGAGGACAACATCAATGCCAAAGGCATCTTTTCAAGGAATACAATTTAAGATGTTGAAATTTATAAGACAACAGAAGAGAAACCAAGAAAATCCCAATAAACCTTTGAAACTTATAAGACAACAAAAGAGAAAACCAAGAAAGCCCCAATAAAGCTTTTCATAATAGTACTTTGTTGGAACAAAAATCATTTTGGTAGGCAGCAGCATGAGTAATAATACCTATCAACCACCGGAAAATTGGCAATCCGGACAGGATTACTGGATTTATCTTCCGACTAATCTACCGGATTTCATCCCAGCCGGAAGACCACGGGTTAGTTTTTTCACTAGTTTCTCTCCATAAACTTTCTCATTTATGTTTACAACTTTCTCAATTCTGCTTTCTTTATTTTGTTTTGCATTTAGAATGATAGAGCACACACAAGAGATCCATGGTGGTTATTTGAGGAGAGATCGTCGAGAGGCAATAATTATGGGCTAGCCAGGTATAATTTTCACCATATAATAATAATAATAATAATAATAATATTNCCCCACACACACTCTTAATTATGTGAGCTGCAGTGTGCCATCTCGTGCTCCGGTCCCACTACTCCTCATCGAAGGAGCTCTGAATCCTGTGGCACGCTCTCCACCGGCTTACTACGTGCCTTCGTACAACCGAGCATCTACGGACAATCAAGAATCGAGGCTGAGCCCTGAGGAACAGAAGCACGCGCTGAACAAGTTGAGAAAACAGCTCTACAGCCCACACATAAACAGCATTATCAAGAGGCTGGGGAACAAGTTCGGGGGCCCACCTCAGGAAGAAGATGACGGTACGAAAAGGTGCGCGGTTTGTTTGGACGATTTCGATAGCAAGCAGTTTGTGACGATGACGCCTTGCAACCACATGTTTCACGAGGATTGTATTGTGCCGTGGGTCAAGAGTCAGGGGAAATGCCCTGTTTGCCGATTTGTTATATTTTGAACAAAAATAAAAAAATTTGAATGGAAAAAAAAAAAGAGAAAAAAAATACAATGTCATAGATGATGTAGCTATTATGTGGTGTAAATTTTGAAACTTCTCTTGTAAGATGGAACGAGACAAGTTTAGGCTTGTTACTTATTTATTTATTCCCTTCCTGTCAGTATTACATTATTTCCGTAGGTGTGAGTTCTACTAAGTTTAAGTTTAGGTCTCTATGATATTCTTAGGGTTAGATATAAATATTGTTGCTACCTTGTTATTTTGGAGTATGAGGATTATGTAAGAAAACGAGTTTTGACTCAAGGAGTTTGCGTTTGCTCGAAGTAACGCGAATCTTGGTAGGAGTTTGTATCACTGTATGGGAACATTAAAGAGAAAATAAGATGGCCTAACGTAAATAAAACTAAGGCATGTGAGAATACAATATCGTTATTTTTGAGACTGAGTCCAGAAATGGGATATGTACAAAAATGGGAAGAGTGTAGATCGAAGAGTTTAAAAAATTAAGGATTGTGTCGTCATGACATGTTGTGGCTGCTTGATTCTTATGATATTAGTTTACTAGAGTTTGTTATCATTGTAGCCAATGTTAGTTTACCTATAGTGTGCTTATTTTCTAATGTGCTTAGACTGTGGTACTGCATCTCACAACGCAAACGCAAAATTTGAGAGGATTTTGCTCCACCCGAATCCCATACTGCAACGCAAAATGAGATTTTGCTTCGTCTCTCTCCAGAAAAAACGCAAATATACGTTTCACTGTGCAGCAACACAAATCTTTTCCAAAGGTTTATTACTTGCCCCAATATTTTGTACAAGTATATTTTGGACATTAAATATTAACATGAAAAATTCATAAATCATTAAATCATATTGTTGAGAATTAATAATACAATACATTTTTTTTAGCATGGACTTAGACATGGACCAAGTCGCAAATTTTTTAAATTTTTTAATCAATTATTGTAAAGTGAAAAGTTAGCAAGCACAATGATTCCTAAATTAGAGGTATAATAATTTCAAAAAAATAATTTTAATTGAAGCTTAAGGTCATTCACTAAATATGTGGAACTTTATTTATTTATATTGATTTAGTAAAACTCAGTCTAATTTGTCTGTTTATTTAAACTAGAATTGTTTCTATTCTTAACAATAAAATATATTTTTTGTTTGAACAAAAGGGAAACAATTAAATGCGTACCATACATATCATATCGTAGGGGGATTTTATATTAGAAGAATAGAAGTTTTAGTAAATAATCGTCTATACTCTACATATCTGGATTGATGCGAAACCTAATGGCGAAGAAGGCGAAGGCGCCGAGAGATGAAAATGCTGATAGACTGCAGCAGTTGAAGGAATCAAGACGAAAGCTTGAGAACAGATTCTGCGTTCGAATTTTCGCCGCTTTTGAATTCGCCGTTCATGGCCTCATGACCTTCCACCCCTAACTCATCTCTGGTTAGCCAGTTATTTACTAATTTCTGATTCGTTCGCTTTTCTAATGTGCTAACTATGAATTTAGATTTTTATTTTTTTCGGGGAATTGTTGTAAGCCAGTTATTGTTTTCTATTTTTTCTCGGTTGTGATTTGAATCAAATTTAGTATTTTTACTTCACAGGAGAATAGAAATCGTCGCGTGATGATGATACTGATCACTGCTCAATTCGATGCTTTACCAATATCTGCTGTATGTTTATGTCTCTTGGTATAAATTTCTCATCTTCAAATAAGTTTCATATGGCAACACTAATTTTGTTTCGTGATGACTGATGACAGATGAAGCCACTCCTTGTAAGCCCATAGAAAATTTTTGCCCGAGCATGTAAGCTGGTGGTTGAGAGATTCAAAAATTGTGACTATGAGCGTGGTTTCTACTGTTGTTGAAATAGTCCAACTGTTGAATTAAACCGATTGGTATACCAAGTCATGGGTGGATCGTTTGAGGTAGGACCGTGATTCGGCCTAGATTTTCATGGGCGAATTTTTAAGTAGATGGGAAGTTATGGGAAGTTGTTCTGGAATCAGCACCTTGAGAGCATCTCCAATCGCACAATGTCTATTTTGATATATATGTTGTGGAGAAAAGAAATAAAAATAGTTTGTCTCCAATGGTGAATGTCAATTGTAGAATAAATTGACATGTGTAAGATAATAATTAGTTGATGGAGAAAGATATATATAATAAATAATATAATATAGATAGAAGATGTCTAGAAGTCTTTCTAGATCTAGAAAGACTTCTAGAAATTTTACATGCCACATTGAATTTTTGAGGCCATGTGGCAATGGAATGAACCAATGCACAAACCATTGGAGATGCTCTAAGGTTTTGGTGTCTTGTTCTCAGATTGTGCCAAGGACATTAAAATTGTAAGGAAAAATGCTTATTCACATCTTTCTGGTCGTAGAATTGCTGAGTTCCTGAACTGGATTTGTAACTCCTCGAATATTTTTACTATTTATGGAGCTCGACTTTATTTCCATAAATAGCCAATTTTTTTATTTGATGCATTTAATTATTTATTTGCATTAAATCGAGTAATTAATACTGAATCTAAGCCATGTGAGAATTTATTCGATTTTTAATATTAAAATCGACTTTATTTAGTCCAAGTATCGATTTTATTTTAAAGATAAAACCGAGCCTTAGTAATAATCGGAATTCTATTTAGTCAGGCCTTACTAAACTATCTATAAGACTTCAAGGCAAAGCGAATTTCCCCGAAAGCTTGTGAAGCCTGAATAATTAATCTGCTCGACCAAAATCATTTTCAAGCGAGTTATTCTTGTCCACTTTAATTAATCGAACTCATGTTCAATTTTATACCGGTTCATTTTATTAAATTGAGTCCATGTTCGATTTAATTTAAGCCCATTTTGAAAATCGAGTCTATAGTTAATTTTTAAACTCGAGCCCAATCATTTTATAAAAATCGACTGACTAATTTATTTAGTTTAAGTCCAATTAATTTTATTAAGCTGAGCATTTAATTCCTTAGTCAATATTCAATTTAACAAAGTTGAATTTAAATTACTACCTCAACTACTGCCCAGCCAAGTAACAAGTGATATCCTAAGCCCAAGTCTAAGGCCCAAAATTGATTCAAACCCTAGCTCACTCTTGTATATATACAACACATAGCACACTTATCCACTCATCACCTACCCGCCCACACACATCATCTTCTCAAGCTCCTCCACCTCTACTCAAAAATTCGGCCACCATCCCCGCAGCTCCGGCGACCTTCAAGCCGGCGAGCATCCATTTTCCGGTGAAACCTCCATTTTCCAGCAGCCCTAGCCACAGCCGTTTCCCGGCGAACCACCGCGTCTAGCCCCGCCGGCACCTCACCACGTCAAGCAGCCGCCGGCGCAAGTTCCGACGAGCACAGCCGCAGCAAGACATTCGCCGGGTCCAGCCACTCTCCACGCCGGCAGCGGCATCCCAGCTCCCAGCCGCCGCCGACCCCGCTTGCAGCGCCGCCGTCGCAGCCACTGTGCGAGCCGCCGTCGACCAGATCCGCCAAGCTCGTTCGCACCACCGTATGTTCGCTCCTTCCGCTGGTCCCAGCACGAGCCGTCGTCGCGACCAGCTCCGTCGAGCCATCGCACCAGATCCGTTCTGCCTGTTCCGCCGTCGCTGCTCTCAAACTACCCGTCACGGCCGCCGGTCACCGACCGCTCCTACTCGCACAGACCGTACGCCGGCGAGCTGCCATCGCCGTTCACGCGCTCGCCACCACCGCACGAGCCCACAGCGCTTTCCGGTGAGTTCTTGCCGTCCTCCGGCGAGTCACGACGAGCCACCGGCGAACCACAGTTCCTAGTCGCCGGCAAGCAGCTCCCGGCCTTCGGTTCACGAGCCCGGGTCCAGCAGCTCAAATAGCAGCATATCATGACGTTCCAGCCAAGATCCACGATCCTTTAGAACCGACCCGGCCAGAGTTAAGCAACCGAGCATTCCCCGATCTCTTTCCGATTTTCATTTTAAGTCATTCGGGAGGTATATTAGCTGAAGACATGAATTATAATTAATTTTAAAAATGAGTTTGAGAATTTTCGAGCAAGATATCATTTGATATGATTTTATTGAGATAAATGGATAAAAAATCATAAAATATTGATGGCTGATCCGAAAAATATGATTCTAAGGGGATTAATTCTATTTTGATGTCTTGAGGCTTAGGTTAAATTTTCGTGAATTTTGGAGCTCGTTTGATATGCGAACGGATATTTTGAATTTAGACTGATAATGCTTGATTTTAGTTAACTGAGTTGGGAGTTGAGTTGGAAGTTGAATATGGCAGTGAGATTTTTACCATAAATCCTATAAATGTTGAGTATGCTGTGGTTGAAATTTCATAATTTTTGGATGTCGTTTGATATAGATTAAAAATTGGGACTCTAGTCGGATAACACTAATTCTAGAATATTAGTCGTTGGATGTAAAATCCTAATAAATCACATAGAACGTAAGTTTTAAATATCGGCTTAAAACGAATTTGGATTTTCAAGAATCGAGAACCTTAGTTTTTATTCAGTTTCGATAATCGGTTAAAGTTTGGATCTGAACCCTAGTATCAGTTAAACAACTTTAGACAACTTTAGACGTCATAAGATTACAAATGAATATTTGGGTGTCGAGAGGTAGTCGGTCGGCCGTTAGTCGCCGATGGGACCATAAATGAGCCTAAATAGCAATTGAAATTATCCAGCCGACGTGTTTTAACACGTATCCTTAACGCGATTCGACATCCCGCACATGGATTCGACCTTTGATCGTTGGAGCCGAATCACTGAATGCGTGCCCGTACACCGAGTCTGAGTCGAACAGCTGAGTGCGTGCCCTTGCACCGAGTTCGAGTCGAACAACCGAGTGTGTGCCCGCGCACCGAGTTCGTCCTCAACGCGCTGTTTCCGTTAGCCGTGGTCCAAGCACTCCCCTGCGTCAGTGACCGTGGCATCGTTTCAAACCCGTGTCAGTCATGTTCGTGCAGGCTCCGAGAAGCCACGCGGAACTCGGATTATGGTCAAGTCGAGTTGCACATAGGCAATCGAATGATCGACCGGCTCCAATTAGCCATCGGTCTAGTTCAGAACCAATCTGGGTAGTCCAGACGGTTCGAAGAGAATTTCAGTTCAGTCGAATCAGTCTGGACGGTTCGATAGTTCAATTCGGAACATCGGTTTGAGCGTGAACCGAGAACTCAATTTTTTCGAACCATTCACACAGATTAGACTCTAGTATGCCTCAAAGACAATAATATTTTCAAAATCAGCTCGTAAATTTCTAAAATGATTTTCAAAATCTAGTTAGCAAACGATCAGATAATAAAATTTGAGTTTATTCTGAGCCCGAGTACTTAGAATATTTCGCTTAATATTTTGTAGTTTGAGGAGAGTCGAGCCTCCGCCTGCTACACAAATATATTTCAGCATTTGCATTCGCGGGTTCCACCCTATGACAACCCAACTTTCTTTCTTCACCAGCTTTCACTTCATGTAGTTTGGTCCATAGATTGAAGTACAGTTCTTGGGATTCTTGTGGATCCCTCATTTAAGTCTGACAGAGAGGACATTGGCCTGGGGCCAATTTCCTGTCGCACTCGAGGTGGAAAAGGTGAGCGCACGCAAGGAGTATTAGGTATCGATGGTGAATATCTCTTAGCACATATCGCACAACTGATTGTTGCTAAAAACTTTGAAATCCTCTTTCCATATTTCTTATGCTGCAAATCACATTTTACTCGTTACTTGAACCTTGGGAAGATTTTGGTTCTGAATTATTGAATTAGTTTGCATCATCATGTTGATCGGGCCATATGTACATTTGAAATGGAGAAAAATGAAAAAAGAAATACTATTTATAAGCTGTGGGTTGGCTAGCTAGCCGATAAATACTTAAGTTCCATAGTGTGTTTTAGCGGAATCATTTCGCTATATCTCGGGTCAGTAAACACTTGGCACATCACATTGGTTTGCTAGGCTCGCATCAAAATGAAACTTTATCAACGTTATATTTCAACTGTATCTTATCCAACACTCGAAAGTGGGATGAGAAAATTGAGGCTCAAATAGAATCCAAATTTCCTAATAAAATTCCTAGCCCAAAACAGAAAACCCAAATCAAATGATGGGTCAAATTAGGTGAGGAACTCAGTCGTCTTCGTCTGGATCATCGTCTTGGACGGGCGGGATGAGATCGTCGGGGTCGAAAATCATGCGTATAAGAAACCCAACAATGAGGAGAGCGTTGAAGAAGACATCTTCGTCATAGCGGTCGGACGGAGCTAGCCAGGGTCGGACGGGGCAACGACCAGGACGGACGGTTGATGACTGGCAGGCTCATCGAGGGCCTGGTAGTGGGTCTCGACATCGTCTCTCTTGAACACGGACTCGCAATTCGAAAACTGAAAGCAAAATTGCTCCTCAGCGAATAATGTCGGTAGGAGTCTTTGTTGTGAGTTCATGTTTTCGGGTTGCGAGTCCGTGTTGGAGAGAGACGATGTCATGATCCACTACCGGGCACTCGGTGAGCCGGCCAGCCATCAGCCGTTTGATCTGGTCGTTGCCCCGTCCGACCATGGCGTACCTCCGTTCGACCGCTATGACGGGGATGTCTTCCTCGACGTTCTCCTCATTGCTAGGTTCCTTATACGTATGGTTTTCCACTTGGACGATCTCATCCCGTTGGACGATGATCCAGATGAAGGCGACGACTGAGTTCCTGACCCATCATTTGATTTGGGCCTTCTGTTGGACATTTTTTTAGGAAATTTAGATTCTATTTGGGCCTCAGTTTTCCCATCCATTTTTGCTGCAGATTTATACTCTTGGATAAGATAGTCATTAGATTTATGTTGAAATATAAATTGACAGGTAAAGTTTCATTTTGATGCGAGTCTAGCAAATCAATGTGATGTTTATTGGCCCGAAATATAGCGGAATGGTTCCGTTAAAATGCAATATGAGACTTAAGTATTTCCCGACTAGCTAGTCAACCCATAACTTATAAATAGTGTTTCTTTTTTCATTTTTTTTTCATTTCAAATGTTTGTTTTGATGGCTCCCGATCAAGATGATGATGCAAATTCAATAGATCCCAACAACAACAATTTAGAAGTAAAATCTTCCGAAAGTTCAAGCAATGAGGAATATGTGATTTGCAGCATAAGAAATCTCTTCCTTTTTGAGGAGGATTTCCAAGTTTTTAGCAATAATCAGTTTTGCGTTATCTGCCAAGAGATTTTCACCATCAATACTTTTGTTCTCCTTCTTGCGTGCACTCACCTTTTCCACCTCGAGTGCTACAGGTCAATGCCCTCTGTGGGACTGAAATGGGGGATCCCCAAGAATACCAAGAACTGTACTTCGACCTGTGGACCGAACTCCAGGAAATGGAAGGAGAAGAAACTGGTGAAGAAAGAAAGTTGGGTTGGTTCCTAAAAACACTGGAGAATAGAAATCGTCGCGTGATGATGACACTAACCACTGCTCAATTCGATGCTTTACCAATATCTGCTGTATGTTTATGTCTCTTGGTATAAATTTCTCATCTTTAAATAAGTTTCATATGGCAACAATAATTTTGTTTTGTGCTGACAGATGAAGCCTCTCCTTGGAAGCTCTCCTTGGAAGCCCATAGAAATTTTGGCCTGAGCATGTAAGCTGGTGGTTGAGAGATTCAAAAATTGTGCGTATGAGCGTGATTTCTACGAGTATGCATACCGATTGCGTTGGCCCTTATTGAAATAGTCAAAATGTTCAATAAAACCGATTGGTATACCAAGTCATGGGTGGATCATTTGAGTTGGGACCGTGATTTGGCCTTGATTTTCATGGGCGAGTTTTTAAGTAGATGGGAGGTTGTTCTGGAGTCACCACCTAGAGGTTTTGGCGTCTTGTTCTCAGATTGTGCTAAGAACATTAATATTTGAAGGAAAAATGCTTATTCACATTGGTCTAGTCGTAGAATTGCTAAGTTCCTGGACATGATTCAAGACGACCTGATTTATGCTCGAGCGTCACTTGACAGTCAGTCAAATTGATGTTGCTTAGGTTAATTTGTCTTGTGGATATATCCGTATCTTACGCTCATCCTTTGCAAACATTTACTATGTTTTGATTCTATTGTTTCTTTTATTATTATTTTTTTTATTTTTTTATAGGTGGTGAGCACCCTGCTGATGTCCCGCCTACTGTAATTCTGCCGTCTATTGACCACCAGAATAAGGCGATTTATATGACGTGTCGAGGCCTGTTGGAACAAAACAACACGATTCATGATATTTATGCAAGATTGGTCTCCATAAAGCGAGGCAGTAATAACCTCCCGAGGGGTTCTTTTCTCTTGCTGGGCCCCACGGGAACTGGTAAGACGGATATTGCCAAGTCCATTGCCGAGCATTGGTACAGTGATGCGAGCAAGCTTGTAGAGACTTATCAGATTATGATGCAGAGGAAACAGCCGAATGGTATTTTGCTATATAAACACTGAAAAACTTCATTTCTTTTGGGGCCCTCTATGCTATTGCTGACCGATTT